CATTTCATCTCGATCAGCTTGTTATGTTATTTCTTACCAAGTTAGTTCTATCTATCATTACACAATTTTTCTGTTGCATCAACATTTGACTTAATTAGAATGGCTGATTTGGCGAGACAAAGGACATGATTGTAAGTATATATAACTCCTTTCAGATCCAAATTATATTCAAATCACTTTCCTTTAACACTGCGTTTCGACAAATGTTTAATTGCATTATTAGTATATACCATTCACAGTATTTAGTCGCTATTAAGTTTTTTAAAAGTGAGATATTTAATTACTATTATTTTTTTTCTCTCTCTTTTATGTACACATGTGAGTTGGAATTGCACTTGAAACTCAATTTTGGTCTAAAAGACACATTTAGGCCACCAGCTATTAGGTTCATGGGCTTAGAAAGCACATCTGGGCTTTAGGTCCATGGGCTTACAGAACACATTTGGGCCACCAGCTATTTGGTCCATGTAAGTTTATAGCCTAAGTGGGCAAGTATTATTAGGTATTGGACTCCATTCTTTAGTTTCTTCATTTATATAATTTTTGTGATTATTGTTACTGACTTCATGTGTGTATGACTTTTGCTTAAATTTACTGATTATTACCAATTGACGACTTTCTCTCTTCCCTTTAGAACTAGCTTGCGGTCATCATTATTTAAGAATAATAATGCAGATTTTTATGTGAATAAAAAACCAATTGAAAACTTTTTAAACTGCTACAAAAGGCCTCCCTTTCTCAATAAGTTAGTTTTTGAAAAGATGATATAGAAGTCCAAAACTAACTTGTAGGCTGTAGCCCCAAATCCATTTTCTGGGCATCAAAATTGGGCTGACTAGACCCAACTTATTTTGCTAACTAACCTCTTTGCAGAAGATTCGGCCCATAAGTTTGCCCATAACTATCTTCAAAACAAGGTCCGAAGTATATATTATTGTCACAAGGGGAAAAAGGCATGATATATCCTCAACTTTGTCATTTAGAGTTAATATATTTTTATCGTTATACAAATGACTCACTATACCCATATTGTTACAAAAAGGTGCTCACATATACCCTTCATCTAACGGAAGTGAAAAAAATTAGTTTTGACTTTAATTTTTTTTTAAAATCATGTACGGGTATATATCATCCGTCTAGCAAAGTTCAAGGTATATTTTATTCTTTTTCATACATAAATTATTTTTTGACTTCTTTGATTATCATTATTTGAGTTTTTTATTCTTATTTTATTTTTTTCTTTCATTCTTCAGTGTAAAGAAAAGAATTTAAAACTATTTTTTTCATGGCTATATTATAATTTAAAACTATTATTTTCGGCTATATTGTAATTTTGTTTTTGTATTTGTAAAAAAAATTGGGTCATCTATAATAAATTTTACAAGAAAATTATTGAAACCTAATAAATTTGACCATCAAAATAATAAATTTAAATTAGTCATTAAAACAAAAAAGTAAAAAAGAAATATGTGTGAGGATGATCAAATATACACCATATGGATTATATTTTATTTTTAAAAAAAAATAACTTAAAAATTAAATCAAAATTAATTTTTCTAATTCCATTAGAGGAAAAGAGTATATGTGAGTCATTTGTATAACACTAGGTATTTATGAGTTACTTTTATAACAACGATATATTAACTTTAAATGACAAAGTTGAGAAATATATCAGTCTCTTTTCCCAAAACACAAATATACTTGTATCTTGTACCTTATTTCACCATATACATATACTAATTTTCACACACATACAATAGTTCTTTTTCGCTTGTAATAATCACACTTCAGTCACTTAATTATCTTGCTATACATCCCCTAGACGGGTTTCATATTAACTTTTTATGAGTCAAATACGTAATATATATATATAGACAGTGAGAATTGAACGTCAAATTTTTTTACGTGCTATAACATATATTTTAGCCATCTCATATAAAAATTAAGTTGTTAGCTAAAACATATTTTATTTTATTAACTATTTTTTAATAGTACATATGTATATCTAGTGAATCACAAATAAAAAAAAGTTGAATTTTATGATTTTACTTTCGCTTACACAATATATATATATATATATATATAGTATAGAACTTTGGATTACTTTTTCAATAGTTATAGTATAGAACTTTGGATTACCCTACTCAAAATTTTATATTTATAAATAAAAAATTTACAATAATCTCTAAGATAATGTATCGCAAACACATGACTAACATTTGATTAATTTAAATTAATCTTTACAATAATAATATTATTGTTTAAAGTTAAATGCTTTATATTTTTTAAGAATACTTTATTAAAGATACGTATGAAAAAAATTAAACATGAGCCATATTAAGGTGATAATAACAAAATATAATTGAGTCATATTTGCTCTATCTAGTTAAAGTTCTTAAATTTTGTATATATAAAATGTTTTGCGTTGTGAACCCAGTACAAAAAATTCAAAAATTGTTTGATCGTAAGACTCCACAAAAATGCAATTTGTGATACCCATTGAAACATATCAAAATTTAAGTAAACGAACCTTTATATTTATTTCCGTATGATACACGATAAACAACTTTTTTCTCTTTCAAAAAATTGCAAACATAAAAAATAGAATAAAAAAAACACAATTTTTTTTTTCTCTTTTCTATGTTTCACGAAAAAATTGTAAACATAAAAAATAAAATAAAGAAAGCACAAAATCAAATAAAAAAAATCATAAACATAGTTTTTACTTACGAATGATTTTCCTAAAAATTAGGTGGTAAACTATTTTGACCTCTTCAAGTGCCTATGTGATCGGTAACAAAGTTTGTGTGTATTCTATCTCATAGAACATGTCAAGTTCAAGGGCTATCTAAGAGCTATACAAATTACCCTAATTAAGTGCATTTTATTGATAACTACAAATTAGTAGAGTACTACACCCATTCAAACATATAATGTACTATAATTTGTGGCATTTTCTTATATGAGTAATAGGCAAGAAATTAGATCAAACAGTTTGATGATACACAATGTTTTGGTCTTGCTTGTTTTTTTCCCCAAAAAATCAGTGTAAATTTCTTCCGGATGATCTATTGGTTAATATTCTGTGCAGACTCCCAGTAGAAGACTTACTCCGTTGCCAACAAGTGTGCAAAAAATGGAATTGTTTAATCTCAACGCCACAATTCAACCACATGAATGTAAATTTGGGTGCTGCAGTTTCTACAATTGTTGTCGACGAATTCGATAGAACAGAGTGGAGCATGAAGATAGTGTTTATCGATGAATGGCATAAAAAGAATCAGGGGATTCTTAGAAGGAACAAAAAATTCAGGCGTAGTTACACTTGTAAATTATTGAATTCTTTGCTTAGCCGAATCTTTTCGTACCATGGCTTGCTCGTAGTTATGTATTACGACAATAAAATTAGACATTTAATCCTCAACCCTATCACCGGAGTACAAGTTAGCTTTCACATCCCATATACTACAATTGTTGCACTCTTTTTTCATTCGGTCGCGAATGAATATTACGCGATTGGGGCAAGGTTTCGGGAAACAATGAAACAAGAATACATATTGCTCAAGGTTAGCTCGCTTTTGTCGAATGAAGTGGATTTTGAAAGGGGCTGGAAAAAGCTTAATTATAGATTGCCTACGGTTTGCCCTTCTCCTATTGTGAAAACAGATGCTATTTATTGGATGGTTGATGAAAAGCATCCAGCAAATGATGGTCCTGTAACGTGTTGTGGAGTGTATGTGATAGTATTTGACATAAAAAAGGAAAAATTTCATGTGGTATCACATCCGGGAGAGAGATGTGATAGCCAGATTTTAAAAGAAAAAAATGCTCGGATGCAAATATTAGAAAAGGAAGGCGTGGTGTCATTCTGCGCAATAACTTGTCATGTTGAAGACATAGTAAAGATGCAATTCTGGTATCTGGAAGATCAATACAATTGGAGTCAAAGTAGTGAGACAATCATTCTTGATGATATGGGTGTTAGGCGATTTCCCTTTACTGATAGTATGCATTTTAATGTAAAAGTGGTTGGCACACTAAATGGGGAATTGATAATTAGTTGGCTGTGGAGAGGAGTCTTTGCTTACCATCTCCGGCTAAGAACTGTACGAAAGCTGGAGTTTGATAACATGACAGGCTCCCATGTGCTCATTCATAACAAAACCAACTTTTCTAATTTCAAAGGTATACCAAACTAAAATTGTTTAGGATGTGTCTGAATACAAGAGTTCGGCTGCAGATATAGTTCTCAGATTATTTTCATTTCATCTCTCGAGATTAATTATTTAGCTTGGTATGTTATTTCTCACCAACTTACTGAGTTAGTTCTATTTATCATTTCATATATAGCAGTTGTTGTTTACTTCACGAGTTTAGGAAAACAGAGTCCTCTTACTCACTATAATTTTTGAATTGCCTCTTCTTTACTCAGATTCTAGTGGAAAAGACAGAAATATTAGCTCAATCTTATCAAGTTGATTTCAATGATATGTTGTATGTCAAATATATAAGTTGTAGAAAAGAGAAACCACATGTATCTATTTACAATGAGAAGTAAAAACAGAAGATAAGTTGAGATTTTAGATATACACAAGATCATGAGTACTATTTCATAGAGCAGGTTTCATTCTTTGTTGTCTTATATTCCAAAACTGAGCTTTGTAAACCTCTTCCGGAGGACATATATGGATGGGTATTCTGAGCACCGTTTAGAGGAAATGCTTGTCATGTCATGTGTTTGCACATGAGGCTCTCATTTCTCAACACTTAATTATGATCAATTAATACATATTTTCACCTTATTTAACCCTTTCACTTTTTCTTTTTTCTTTTATTTAATATAATATAATGCAATATGAGTCAGAGTTGCACTTTTATAGACGGCCAAATAAATCAAAGTTGCTTATCACGGGTTCCTCAGTACCGCTAATAAGTTTATAAAAATGAAAATGATTACTGAATAAATAATGCCCATAAAATCAGCAAAACGTTGTACAGTGGTACCGCTCTGAATTTTGTATGTTCGTGTTATTAATCAGTGGTGGGGCTGCATAAAGTAGTCCTAGCAATAAAGGAACCAATCACTTTGCTTAATAGCTAGCCCCCAAGTCCCAACACCCCACTCTCAGCCCATTGTTCTCTAGATCTAATCTATAGAGATTTTTTTGAATTCCCAACTTTTTTTTTAATCAATGGTTCACAGAAAAACAATGCTCCCTTATCTGTTATTGCTGCTTTTAGCACATGCTGGTTGGGTAACCACAGCAGATCTAGAAAATTATTCACTAGTTAAAAACATATTCATTTTAGCAGGTCAGAGCAACATTTCCGGCCGAGGCGGAGTGATTAATCACTCACTCCGTCCCGGTTTTGTTAATGAGTCGTGGGATGGTGTCATCCCACGTGAATGCGAGTCCAACCCATCAATCCTCCGACTAAGTGGAGGACTTAAATGGGTTGAGGCTCATGAACCCCTTCATAAGGACATAGATGTGAACAACACTTGTGGGATTGGTCCAGGGATGCCATTTGCCAATACAGTTTTGAAGAAAGATCCAAGTATTGGAGTAATTGGGTTGGTTCCTTGTGCTGTTGGAGGAACGAGTATTACTGAATGGGCTCCAGGCGGCTTCCTTTACAAGAATATGATAAAGAGGACAAAGGCGGCCACTCGAGGCGGCGGAAAGATCAGGGCATTGTTGTGGTTCCAAGGTGAGAGTGATACAAAGACACTTGAGGATGCCAAAATGTATAAGGTCAGATTGGAGAGATTCTTCAAGCATGTGCGCCACGATCTGGAACTGCCTAATCTAACTGTTATTCAGGTATATCTTCTTTGAGAAAATTATTGGATATGCAAATACTATGAGTTTACTACCCTTTTATGTTCCTAGCTGTGGTTTTCTCTGTTTTCCTTTAACAATCTTTTTGGAATTTGAAGTTGACAAGTCTTTTTTTGGGTTTTAAAATTATAAAAATTGACAACTGTTTTTGGTGATAAATGTTGGTGTTGAAATAAACTTTAAGATTGTGAGTTCAAATCTAAAATAAAATATGAGAATACATATCGTCCCATTAACCCTTTTTTTCCTGATAACTACCTAGTCCAATTTCTCCTTTACCTTGTTAGGGTCACGATATCATATGTTATGATTTTGAATGACTTGTTATATGATAGATAAATTAAATTAAATATATCTAAACATTCTTTTAAGGAAAATATTTGAATAAAAGAAAAATTCAAAAAAAAAATGTCGGTGCAGTGACTAATGAACGTGTGATCGTAATAATAAGACATATTTTGGGAAAAAGAAAAAAAATTGGTAGAAGAGATAAGGTGGGTCCTAAAATGGTAATGGGGATATTTTTTTTGGTGCAGGTGGGAATTGCAACAGCACTAGGGCCATACATGGAGTTGGTGAGGGAAGCTCAGCGAGAGATAAATATTGGGAATTTGAAATATGTGGATGCCAAAGGGTTGCAGATCGGGCCAGATTATACGCACCTTACTACTGCTGCACAAATTCAGCTTGGACAGATGCTCGCTGATGCCTTCCTCCGCCCCAATTAGATGTTGTTGACCTGCTTGGTTCACCTAAAAATAGCGTAATTTCAGATTTCGATTGAAAAATTGCAACTATTTCAGAGGGATAGAAGAATGTTGTTACTCTTACTTCACATTTTCTCCTCGCATGTAACATTATTAAAAAGGAGTGAACAACTCTATTTACATGGTCTACAAATTTCACGCAGTGACCCTATGCTTATTGTTTTCGTTCCTTCTCGAAACGAATATAATATATAATTGGTTTGCCTCATGTTATTTTATTTTCTATGTTTGTATGGTTTTTTTTCCTTTTACACACACATGTGGCAGTAACATGCAAGTCAATTTTCCCCAAGTTTGTCTATTGGTGAATCTTTTGAAAAAATCGTCACATTATTTAGTGACTTTAGTAAGATAAAATTATTGTAATTTACAAATTATTGTTGATATTATGGTTAAAGTTTAATGACCACACATGAAATTAATTCGATTGATATATTTCATCATAAGTATTGCTTATAAGAAAATGAAAAGAGATGTCTTCTTTCCTAAATAGCAACTGAATTTGTTTAATTATATTAATCAAATTTGTGTGGATTAAATAAATTCTATTCTCATGGACAACTTTTTAAATTCCCCCTTTCTTTGCTACCAACAATTAGCTTTTGACTTAATTAGAGTGACTAATTTGGTGAAACAAAGGGTATGATCATATAAAGTCCGATATTACTAGAAAGGATAGTCGTAAACCTCTTATTGCAAAATTGTTTATATGTGAAAACCAATAAATATATATTCCACATATTTTGCTCTATGAACCCAGTGTATCACAAGTATAACGCTCTCATATATTTTTATGTATATCACTGGTATATTTTATATAACTCCTCTCAGCTCCAAATTATTTTCAAATCACTTTAGCCATTTTTATTATCACTATATAATCCCCCCCCACCCCCCCCCCGTTTTTAATTAGATTATATTTAAGATAGAATAAAATTTGTTTGATGCCTAACACTTTCTCATAAACATAGAGCCCGTTTGGATTAACTTAAAAAAAGTAGTTTTTAAGTCAAAAATAAAAAAATCAAACTGAAATTACTTTTAAGTAAAAAAATAAAAAGTAGGGGGAGACCTACTTTTGGTTTTTGACTTATTTTAAGTCATTTTTAACCTTGTCAAACACTCCCCGACTTATTTTAAGTCATTTTTGACTTATTTTAAATTATTTTTTATAATTGCCAACACTTCTAAAAATCAAAAACTGACTTAAAAGTATATTTGACCAACTTTTAAATCAATCCAAACACCCTCATAGTTTACACTTACAAATGATTTTCCTAAAACTAAGGTGGTAAACTATTTTGACATGTTTGATTTTCCTAAAAATAAGGTGGTAAATTATTTTGACCTGTTGAAGTGCCTATGTGATCGCTAACAAAGTTGATGTTGATTATGTTATTAACATGTATCCATCCGTAGAGAGACTAGAGTGTATGAGGTAAGAGCTATAATTATCTAAAGTGCATTTATTATAGATAACTACAAAGTAGTAGAGTCCTACACAGCTAATGTCCTATAATTTGTCCATTATATGCCATTTTCTTATATAATACTAGTACGCAAGAAATAAGATGTAACAGTTTGATAATACATAATGTTTTGGTCTTGCTTGTTTTGTTTTCCAGAAAATGACTGTCTATTTCTTCCTGGTGATCTATGGATAAATATTCTGTGCAGACTCTCGGCAGAAGACTTACTCCGTTGCCAACTAGTGTGCACACAATGGAATTGTTTAATCTCGACACCACAATTCAACGACATGTATTTAAATGGCGGTGCTTAAGGCTGGCAACGGAACCGGGAGGTGCCGGTACCGGTTCCGGTTCGTTCCGGTCCGTTACCGGTTCCGTCTCGGTTCCGGATAGTACCGGTCAGATCCGATATTATACCGGTCCGGGAGGGGTTACGGGACGGAAACCGGAATTTACCGGTTCGTCCCGGTCCGGTCCGGTTGGGCCAATTTTATTTATTTTTTATTTTTTTAATCTGAAATTTCAAAATTTATAGCCGTTGAGAGCCGTTG